CAACACAGGCGGCGCCCAGCAGCCAGGCATGGGACAGGACAACACAAGAGCACAAGTTGGAGAGTGTGTTGTCATCTCATAACAGGAGGTGCCCATCAGTGAAGCATGTGACAGGATGACAACACAGGCGCACCTCTAGGAGACCTGATGATGTGTTGTTTCATAGCAGGAAGTGCCAGAACAAGGACATTCCTGGCAGGATCACCAGGTATTATCACAATGGATTTAAAATGATTGAACACTTTTGAAATAATACGTGAAGTTATTATACAGTATTTATAAAGCGCCAACAGTTTGCTCAGCGCTGTACATTACAAAGGGGGACAGAACATGTGACAGTACAACAATACAATGCGATGCGATACACGAGGGGTTCGAGGGCCCTGCTCCTTGGAGCTTACAATCTAGGATCTTAAATTGGTACTTGGGCTCATGCTGCTTTACCCCCAGAGACAGAATGAATATATAGTTATTGACCACCATGCAGCATCGGTAGCCCCAATGTGAACGAGCCCATCCTGATCGGTATGACGTCACACCGGTAAGGACGGGTATTGTTGTAATGTGAATGAGCCCCTTCACCTGGAATGATACCGGCCCGGTCACGTATCTCTAGCCCATCCCTCAGAACAGATGTGTGGAGGAGCCGAGTCCAGCCATGACGGCTCGAAGAATGCAGGGCTCATCATACGATGCCGATCACCCAAGGCTCAGGATGGGTGACCGCCAGTAACCTTGGTTAGCAGGACGGCGTTTCCCTGGTGACGGGAGCTAGAAAACGGGAGAGGAGACACAAACTCACCAGGACAGGCGGGCTGCACCGGTATAGATGGATGCTGCACGCAGAGGAGTCACACGTAAGAGATGCTCGCCGCAGCCGGTGTCACCGCCGTGAACACGCACAGCAAGCCAATGACGCCGCCAACACACCGCTGGCAGCCAATCAGCGACCTGCAATGCAGAGGTGTGCCCACTACCCCTTTCGCTTTACACCGAGCCCCGCCCTCCACATCCTTCCTCTCAGTGTCATTGATGCGATGAGAGGGCGCAGTGATTGGCTACAGAAAGTGGCGCGTTGGTGGGGGCTGGAGTGTGATGTCACGGTGGGCGGGGATGAGGTTATTAGAGGTCAGAGCTGAGGAGAAACGTTGGAGTGAAGCATTGCGCCACATGTGTCATAATAGAGAGCTCGCGGGCCGTAAAATGAGAGCCGGAGACGGTCTCTTAGCAGTTACCATGGAGAAGCAGCGACCGTTCCCACACAGCCGGGTGCACGTGTAGTAAAACAATTGTAGCCATAGAGCTGGAGTGGAATACAAATAAAGACAATGAGGGCAGAAGTGTGTGAGAGAGAGTTCCCTACACCTCGGTTTACAAACGCCTCAGTTAATGGCATTTTCGGTTTACGAATGAAAATTTGTTGAAAATAATGCCTTGGTTTATGATTTTTTTTCGCAATACAATAAGTGTCAGTGCCAGAGTTAAAGGAAACTTTGTTTATGGTATGGATTTTGAGGGGAACTACCAAGCCAAAATTAAAAAAAAATGGCGTGGGGGTCCCCCCCAAAATTCATAACAGACCCTTATCGGAGCATACAGCCTGGCAAGTCAGGAAAGGGGGGGGAAGAGCAAGGCCCCCCCCTTAAACCATATGCCCTCAATGGGGGGGTGCTTTTGGGCAGGGGGGCTCCCCCCCAAAGCACCCTGTCACCATGTTGATGGGGACAAAGGCCTCTTCCCCACAACCCTGGCCAGTGGTTGTGGGGGGGTCTGCGGGTGGGGGGCTTATCGGAACATGAATGTCTCCTTTAACCATTTGCCGCCCGCCTTATGGCCGAATGGCGGCCGGCAAATGTCATCAGCGTTCCGGGTGGACGCCATATGGCGTCCTCCCGCACATGCGCAGATTGCGCTCCTGCGGAGTGGCGCGATCTGTCACTGGCCGTGTACCTCGGACACAGCTAAGCACAAAAAAAAAAAAAAACCCTGAATGAATCGATGTCATTCAGGTAAATGCTTGCTTATAGCAAAGTAATTCTTTGCTGTAAGCAAATTGTGTAAAAAAAAAAAAAAATACTGATCACTTCCCCAAAGTAGTACAATGTTACTATGGTAACATTGTACTACTTTGGTCTTAGTGAAATATGAAAAAAAATCTTAAAAAAAAGAAAAAAAAGTAATAAAAAATAAATAAAAACATATATATTTTTTTTTTCATACTGTCACCAGTCAGTGTCCCGATCACCACCATGCCAGTTATATGATGATGCTGTACTGCACTGGTGACAATATGTAAAAAAAAAAATAGTGAAACTAATTTTTTCATTTTCCGAAAAATTATGACAAAAAAAATACAACTTCAAAAAACTCGCCATTCCTCTTATGAAGTACGTCGGACTGTCTACTCTGCAAAAAGGGGTCATTTGGGGATATCTGTACTATTCTGACATTCTTGGACCTCAAGAAATTAGATTGCCTGTCAGTACTTCAGGATTGATCAATATTCAGATCTATACCATAGTTTGTGAACTCTATAACTTTCCTACAAACTAAATAATACATCCTAATTTGGGTTATTTTCACCAAAGACATGTAGCAGAATACATCTCAGCCTAAATTTATGAAGAACAATTATTTATTTGTAAACTTTTATAACAGAAACAAAGAAAAATGTGTTTTTTTTCAAAATGTTCGGCCTTTTTTTGTTAATTTATCAAAAAATAAAAACCTCAGCGGTGATTAAATACCACCAAAAGAAAGCTCTAGTTGTGTGAAGAAAATGATCAAATTTTAGTTTGGGTACAATGTTGTATGACCGCGCAATTGTCATTCAAAGTGTGAGAGCGCTGAAAACTGGCCTGGGCAGGAAGGTGTAAAAGTGCCTGGTATTTAATTGGTTAACAAGGGGATCCCCAGATCCCGGCCCCCCTATGTGAATGAGTATGGGGTACATGGTCCCAATACTCATTCACAAAAAAACAAAAGGTGCAGTGTGAAAAAAAGACAGGACATGGTCTTTGACAAGTCCTTTAATAAAAGAATGTCCCCCGCAGTGGATCCAACGGCAGTCACAATGCCTGCCACCAACCCGAAAAAAAGAATTAAAAAAAGACTCCGCTTTCGATGATGGCTTCCAGCAGTCTTCCTGCTCCGGTGGTTTGACAATTTTTAAATAGGTAAGGGGTGGGCCGGGCCCACCCGGGGACATCACGCATGTGACCCCACCCCATGTGACATCAATGATGTCACATGGGGCAGGGTCACTCGAGACCATACTCATTCAGCCCCCCCTGCCCCAAAGCACCCCCATGTTGAGGCTGGTCAATTTTATTATATTTGCTACTTTGTCTCACCCAATAAAGATGCACCTTCACTAAGGTGCTTGTCTGAGAGCATTTTCCACAGCGCCTATGTTTTCCAGTAGTCTTCATTGGTTGCAGGTTTCCACTCACCATCTACCTTTCTATGGAGACTCCAAGTGGCTGATAGAAAATACATCACAAAGTCATAGTCATCATATCACTGTTGTCACCATCAGGGATCCTGTCCTGAGAAATGTCATACAGCCATCACTGCATGTAGACTGGAAGAGGCTGCAGGAGATCAGCAGCACTGACACAACATTTATTTGATAAAAAATAAACAGTGCTTATAATACATGGTGCAATAACAAACCTTGTGTCCTTTACTTGGGTTTTACATCTAAAATCAAAATCAGAAAATGATCAAAGCCGTTTCTATGGGATTTTTATATCCAAGGGACCGTTCTTTTGATTGCAATGTATACCAGTTGTTTTTCACTTTGCAGACTGGATGCCAAACAGGTTCCCTAAAATAGAAAAGGTGTGATTTGCATAGTGTAATGCTGGCAAAGTATGTGGTCGTTATGACTGAGGAGCCAATAGAAAAACAAAGTTAGCAGTCCCAGCACGTCAAGCCATGCAAAAGCTATGTTTTGTGGTCAGCGTTAACAGGAATCTCCCGTGTCACTGGCACGCAAATGTTTGGTGTGCCCAGATTTGTAGGCAATAAATGTTAATTTCTGCTATAAAAGGGGTAAGTACCTCCTCTATTGATTATTGCAACTCCCACCTTGACCTACGTCTACACAGAGTATCCCCTCTTCAATCTATCATGAACGCTGCTGCCAGGCTTATCCACCTTACCTATTGTCCAGGGTCCACTGCCCCCGTCTGCCAATCCCTTCACTAGCTTCCACTCCCCAACACATACAAATCAAAATACTATCAACATACAAAGCTATCAACAATTCTGCCCTGAGCTACATCACCAAACTCATCTCAAAATATCACTCAAATCGTCCTTTCAACATCCTTCTCCTAACCCCCTTGCCACTTACTCCCATGGACTTCACCAGAGCCTTTCCCATCCTCTGGAACTCCCTACCCCAATCTCTCCAGCAGTATGCTACCTACCCCACCTCTACCCAAACAAATAAAATTTTACACTCTTCATTAACACAGTCCCCACAGTTATTTCCTTTTTGTATCACTTGCCCCTCCCTTTTAGATTATAAACTCTCACAGCAAGAGCCATCCTCACCCTTTTGTATTGACTTGTATTGTTACTATACAGTCTCCCTTTATATTGGAAATCACTGTGCAAACTGTTGGATCTATATAAATCCTGCATAATAATAACAATTAAAGTGTATCTGTGGTCAAAATGTAAAATCATATACAGTATTCATTTGCACAGTGTATTTCCAATATTTATAGTGTATACCCATATTAAAGTATAACTACAGGCAAATTTTTTTTTTCCCGTTTTTAGATAGAGTAGACAAGGATTAGACCCCCTGTGTGATTTTTATTACTGTCTGTGTCCCTCTGCCCCACCCTCTCTGTTTGTCCTGCTTACCATTATCACAGAGAGTGAAAATGATAGAACGGGAATAGAGGGAAAATCTTGTAAAGAGGACACTAAAGCCTCATTCATATGGGAACTGATGCCTGTAAAGACTGATTATGCGTCCATAGATGGCAGGTGTTGCATGCAGGTAGCCAATTAGGACACGGCCACTGATCCTAATGTGACAGTGGGAGTAATAAATGTCTGGTGACCAGGGGCGGACTGACAACTCATGGGGCCCCCGGGCAATAGGGGATCATGGGGCCCCTGTGTCCTTGCTCAAACTCAAAAAAGCCTATGAAAAAGATACCAGGGGCATCTCATGGGGCCTCCTACTGACCCCGGGACCTCGGGCAGTGCCCGAGTTTCCAAATGGTCAGTCCGCCCCTGCTGGTGACAATGGTAAGTGGGAGTAATAAATGCCTGGGGTCAGTAGTCAGTGGTAGAAAAAAATGCCAGCTCTCAATGGTCATTGGTAGTAATAAATGCCAAATGGTCAGTGGTCAGTAGTAGTAATAAATGCCCAATGTCAATAGTCAGTGGTAGTAAAACATGCCCGGTGTCAACAGGTCAGTGGTAGTAATAAATGCCTACTGTCAGTGGTAGTAATAAATGTCCAATATCAATGGTCAGTGGGTGTAATAAATGCCTGGTGTCATTAGCCAGTGGTAGTAATAAATGCCCTGTGTCAGTGGTCAGTGTTAGTAATAAATGCCTGGTGTCAGTGGTAGTAATAAATGCCTAATGTCAATGGTCAGTGAGTATAATAAATGCCCAGTGTCATTAGTCAGTGGTAATAATAAATACCCGGTGTCAATGGTCAGTGGTAGTAATAAATGCCCGATGTCAGTGATAGTAATAAATGTTCAGTGTCAATGGGCGTATCAATGGGAATAACACATGTTTAGCATGTTTTTACCACCCCCAACCACATATGGAAACGACTTCTTACTGATGCTCTGGTAGGCTCTGCTGCCCCTGTCATAAAATGAAATCCTACTCCAATGGCCTTGGTAAAAGTAACCTGCAAGAACAGAGCTTTATTGGTGCTTCTACAAGAGGCGTTCAAGTCAAACCAGGACTTCATTTTACAGTTATAAAAAGGGATTCTATCGTGGCATACTACATGCAGTGTCAAGTGTGTCCTATTACTGATAGGCAGCACCATTCCAGAGTAATCAAGATGGCAGACAAGTGTTAGGCCGTTCCATTTTTATCATCAGTTTCTTTTAAGTTTTTTTTCAAGCAAAAACAGATCTGTTTACATCTGTTTTTCATCAGTTTACATCTGTTTTTTTCATCCGTTTACATCCATTTTTTCATCCATTTACATCAGTTTTTCATCCACTTACATCTGTTTACATCCTTTTTTGCCCGTTCTGTTTTTTTATAGAAGAAAAATAGGGTTTTCTTCCATTCCAAAAATGTATGTTAACGGATACAGACATTAATGGATGTAAACAGATGATCATCCGTGTTAAATCTGCTAGTCCATAGAAATACACGGGTGTCTGTTTTTCATCCATAAAAGGAGAGATGAAAAACAAACATATGGAACGCCCGTGTGAAAGAGGCCTTAGTATGTGCATGGAACAGCATGTGGTGGTGACGTTTCTGGAGAACCAAGGTGTAAACCCCGCAGATATCTACAGAAGACTTCAAGCACAGTATGGCGATGAGACGTTCAGCCGCAGTAAGACATTTGAATGGTGTAAACATTTCAAAGATGGCCGTGCTTCCGGAGTGGTGGTTCCCACCCCACAGCAGTCATTCCTGTAAACATTCAGCGTATGGAACGCTTGATCCTGGATATTCCACGCATAACCTGTCGTGAAATTGCTCAAGAGACAAATCTTTCTGTGGGAACTGTGAACACAATGATGTCAAAGTGAAGCAGGCTGTCTTAGAATGGTTCAGATGCACTGACAAATATTCTATGCTGAAGCTTTCCATGAATTAGTTAAACGGAGTGTATAGCAGGGGAGTATGTTGAAAAATAAATGCAGTTTCCACTCCTTGAAATTTGTTCTTTTATTATATAAAATCAAAGTCCTGGTTTGACTTGAACACCCCTCATATGTCAGCTTGGCTTTAAAACGGAAGTAAACCATGTTTTAAAAAAAAATTGCTGGCAGGCTGTTTTATGATAGATTGGACTCTGTGGGGTCAATTTACTAACGATTATCACATGCAATTTTTGGGGGTAAATATTGCATGTAAGAATAAAAAGAGTCAGTTCAAAGAAAAAGATCAAATACCCCCCAAAAGAGAGAGATAAATAAAGTCAATTCACTACAGAAAACACATTATGGCTTTTTTAAATCTCATGGTACAGGCAGTCAATATTTTATGAATGTACAAAATAACAATGAGGGGAACTCTGCAGTGACCTGAAAAAGGTATACAATGTATCAGAGTAGAAATGTTATGTCCTGAGCTCAGCAATGCAAATAAATTGTAACATTTCACTAGAAGGAGATTACTCTGGGAATGAAGGCTAGGTTCACATTTGTGCGGGTCAGGAATACTTTCACAATCATGCACGTTCCTGACCCCCAGGTACAATGTGCTGCTCTTTAGCAGATGTGCGCGGGTGCCATCCCCTGGCACCCGCTCTAATTGTACTCAGCAGTAGCCTCAGCCAATGATTCACGGCCAGGACTTGCTGATCAGTTGTGTAAATTTACAACCCAGAGTTCTGTGTTGACAATCAACACAGAGCTCTGTACAGAGAAAACGATCTCTCTATTTCCCATCCATGCAAAACAGGAATGAGAAACTTAGATATCTATTAGTAAAAGCAGCACATTTTACACACATTACATACAGTTAGGCACACATTTAATCCCTTGCCTAACACAAGGGGTAACCGTTTACCTTGCTGAACTACTTGCCTACTGGGCACTACCCCCTTCCTGCCCAGGCCAATTTTCAGCTTTCAGCGCTGTTGCACTTTGAATGACAATTGCGCGGTCATGCAACACTGTACCCATATGAAACTTTTAGCATTTTTTTCACACAAATAGAGCTCTATTTTGGTGGTATTTAATTGTCACTGGGAGTTTTATTTTTTGCACTATAAACAAAAAAATTGCAAAAAAATTAAAAAAAATGTTTTTGTTTGTATTATAAAATTTTGTAAACAGGTAATTTTTCTCCTTCACTGATGTGTGTTGATGAGGCTGCACTGATAGGTAGCAGTGATGGGCACTGATGAGGTGGCATAGATAGGCAGCACTGATGAGCACTGATAGGAGGCACTGATAGGCGGCATTGATAGGTGGCACTGATGAGTTGGCACTGATGATGCTGCACTGATAGGCGGCACTGCTGGGCAGCACTGATGGGAGTCACTGCTGGGCACCACTGATGGGTGGCACTGCTGGGCACAGGTGGGTGGCACTGCAGGGCACAGGTGGGTGGCAATGATGGGTACAGGCGGGCGGCACTGCTGAGCACTGATCATCAGGGCACTGATGATCAGTGCCCTGATGATCAGTGCCTATCAACTCTCTGACAATTGCTGGTTATCGGCAGTACAGCGTGAGGAAAGTGCAGCCGATAACTGGCAACTGTATTTACCCGGTGATCTGCTGTGTCATTGGACACAGCTGATCATGTGGTAAAAGACCACTGTGATTGGCCGTTTACCGTATTACATGATCAGCTGTGTCCGTAGGACGTCATCCCAGAACTAGACAACCACGCTGTAGCCATCTTTCGGCTATAGCGTGGTAGGGAAAAGGTTAATTACCCTAGATGTTAACCCCTTCCCAGCCAGTGTCATTAGTACAATGACAGTGTATATTATGATTACTGTATCAACGTTACTGGTGATGTCAGTGGCAGTTAGTCAGTTACCCCCAGCGTCATTTAGTGTCAGATTACTACTATCGCAGTACCATTATAAGTTGCTGATCATGGACATTATTAGTATATATATAAAAAAAAAAAAGAATCCCAGTATATATACTATAGTTTGCAGGTGCTATAACTTTCACGCAAACCAAACGATATACATTCACCGGCCATTTTATTAGGTACACCTGTTAAATTGCTTGGTAACACAAATTGCTAATCAGCCAATCACTTTGCAGCAATTCAATGCATTTAGGCATCTAGATGTGGTGAAGATGACTTGCTGAAGTTCAAGCCAAGCATCAGAATGGGGAAGAAAGGGGATTTAAGTATAATAATAATAATAAGTAACTTGGCATGGTTGTTGGTGCCAGGCAGGCTGCTCTGAGTATTTCAAAAACTGCTGATCTACTGAGATTTTCATGCGCAACCATCTCTAGGGTTTACAGAGAATGATCTGAAAAGAGAAAATATCCAGTGAGTGGCAGTTGTGTGGATGAAAATGCCTTGTTGATGTCAGAGACCAAAGGAGAATGGGCAGACTGGTTGCTTTGACATTCAGCTGGTAGGGTCAGAATTTAGCATAAACCACATAAAAGCATGGATCCATCCTGCCTTGTATCAACGGTTCAGACTGGTGGTGGTGTAATGGTGTGGGGGATATTTTCTTGGCACTAGCAAGTAGTACCTAATAAAGTGGCCAGTGAGTGTACACTTATTGGAATTTTTTTTATCAAAGACATGTAGCAAAATACATTTTGGCCTAAAATTTATGAAGAAATTAGATGTTTAAAATTTTGTATTGGATATGTTTTTTAGCAGAAAGTAAAAAATAGGTTTTTTTCTAAATGTTTGGTCTCTTTTCATTTATGTTATAAACAATAAAAAAAACCCAGTGGTGATCAAATACCACAACAAGAAAGCTCTACTTGTGTGAATAAAAGTATATAAATTTATTTTGGGTACAGTGTTGCATGAGCGTGCAATTACCAGTTAAAGTAGTTCAGTGTTGAACTGCAAAAAATGGCTTGGTCATGAACGGAGTAATATCTTCTGGAGCTCAAGAGGTTAAATAATGCATGTTTTTAGTGAAATGACTACTTTTGAGAAACTTGGATACTTCAGACAAGTATGCACTATTTTTAAATAAATACTGCATGAGTTATTATAAGGTGAAAATGTATGTGGCACTTATCTCTTAGCCCCCATTCACACTAGTGTGTGTCTCATGCAGCTGCTGCAGTGCTGCACTACATAATAATGGAAATCACAATATTCTCTATGTATGGTGGCCATTCACTGCAGTGCAGCTGCACCACGTTTTTTGAAAAGGTGCAGGTGCCA